GGGACGTTTAATCTCTTAACATGGGAGGACAGGGCTGGGGCACAGGCCAATTGCACATGGGTCATCCTACATGAGAACTTAAAACATCAATAAATGAAGAAGCAACAACCCTTGAGATTCTACCTGCCTTCCCTGGTAGAACCTTCATTTTTATCCGTGGTAGAAAACACATACATTGAAAACCACATGGACTTGAAAGTGGACGGGGAGAGAATGGTCCATTCCAGAAACTCGCAACCTCAGTGGCAGCCTCTGGAGGCTTTGTTTTCTTTTAAGGATTTATTTGTTTATTATGTATACAGTGTTCAGCCTGTATGTTTGCCTGCAGGCCAGAAGAGGGCACCAGTTCTCATAACAGATGGTTGTGAGCCATCATGCGAGTGCTGGGAATTGAACTCAGGACCTCTGGAAGAGCTGCCGGTGCTCTTAACCTCTGAGCCATCTCTGTAGCCCCACTTCATGCAGATCACACAGCTGCTCGTGGTTGCCTCCAGGAACCTAAAGCAGCACCTGTGCAATCATCTTGGTGGATGTCCCTGGCTTATTTTCACCCCTGCTTTCTATTTCTGCTGTTGGCACCGGCCTGTGGTATTCCACTCTTCTTATAATTGGTGCTTTCTGAAGAGAGTTTGCAGCATGAATTTCCACTTTTGTGACATGCATCACTCAAGCCTCGAGGGCTTCTAATGTCTCAGTTAGTAGGGATTTTGGAGATTCAGGCTAGAGCCCATGTTAAGTCAAAAAGAAAAGGAGAGTTACTCAGCAGAGATTGAATTAGTTTTAAGTTTCACAGCAACCATAGTGTTCTCTCCATAAAAATGTGAATTTTCTTTTGTATTTCTCAAGAGACGAAGAGTAGCTTCATTTTGAGAAGATAGCCATTTCCTCAAAGTAGAGAATGGGTAGATTTTGTTTTATATTTATTAATTTTTCTGCAAATTCACCATGCTTGTATTTGATGAGATTCAATTAGTTGTTTTCTCTGGGCTGATGTTGGTCAACATTATTCCCAGCTTGTGATGAAGAGTGTCCTCGCTGCATGCTAAGCCTCAGCCTCCCACACCTGCATAACTAATTTCATTCCCAAATGGTTGGTCTTGCAAGTGATTGCTGTGATTCGGTTTGAGTGAAAGAATCGCTCATTTCCAGCCTGTGATAATTATTGTATAAGATTTAGATCATTCTATACAAATGAGAGCAAATTATCCATCTGTGATGAAGATAATGGGCAAGAGTGGTTCTTTGATCTCTCCCCATTTGCTCTCACCACACTATCTCCTCACTTCATGGTCTGCAAATGAGAGACAGTAGGCAATCCTCACAAGTTTTTCCTTTTTTTTCTGCATTGAAGTTTCACACGCACAGACTATGGAGTCATAGTGGCTATTTGGCTGAATGGTTTTTCTTTCCCTTATTGTAATGAAAGCGTTGTTCATTCACTCCACTTAAAATATTGTCAAATTGGAATTCTCTGGAGTTTATTCAAGTATGACATGATTGTCAGCGGATGTATTTGTGTCTACTTCATTGTCGTGAGCAAATAAGTAAAGGGAGAAAGACTGATCTTGGCTCATGGTCTCATAGACTTGGTCACCATTCAGCTAGTTCCATTACTGCCGGGACTATAGTGAGGGGAAACACTGTGGTGTGCATGCATGTGTGTGTATGTGTGTGTATGTGTGAGCAGTCAGCTTACCTTATAGAAGCCTGGGACCAGAGGTGTGAGGGAGGGAGAGAGGAGGAAGAGTCCAGGGACAATCCCTTCAAAGACCTGTTCCCTGCGGCCTGTGAATTCTAATGAGGCCACACCATCCACAGTCTCTACCACTTCTCCTGGTAGCTCAGTGGACTAACACACTTAATTCAATCATTTCTCCAAAGCTTGTGCTCTGAGCCTTGCACTGGAGACGAAGCCTTCGGTGAAGAGCACCCTTTGAGGACACCATAGCAGGTCACTCTCCTCTGCAGCTCTGAGGAAGTAAAAATCAAATAAAAGCTGTGTGCGTCTGAGAAAGACATTGCATGCAAATATGAAATAGCTTTCCTATCACGATGGATAGAGTGTCAGAGGATATCAGTGACGGGAAGAGCATTTTCATTTCTAGGGAGCAAGGTCTAGGCCTGTCTGAAAAATATGACACACAAATGCTGAAATCATTTTAAGATTTCAGTGGTTTTAGCCACAATGTAATCGCAAGCCAGTAGTTTCATTCAGTAATTAACATCCAAGGAACCCATTCAACCAATTCTTTCTATTAACGTCTGCAAAATGGTAGGTTCTGTGTAAAATGGACAAGCCAATTCCCTACTCTGCTATTCTCTGAAAATTAGTTACCTACATAGCCATTATAAATAATTGTGAGTTCAAATGGTAGTCTCAAGTCATGATGGTTCTTGTTTTGCTTTGCCCATAATGACTTTGAATCTCACTCCAGTTAAATAAAAAGTATTGAATGCTACAAAGAATGACTTCTTCCATTTATTTTGTTGCTGAGTAGCTAATAACCTATGGGAGAGATGACTTACTATAACTTTTATACTGTCATCAGTGTGGGATTGATGGTCTGATTTAAATAAATAAATTCTTCATCATGCTTTAGTAAAGGCATCCCAGCATGTTTTGGTAGCCCACCATCCATCATGTTTTGGTAGCCTAATTATGACCTGGATGCTCTTAGGCTTTTCTGTATTCAAATTTTCCCTTAGTTGCATACAAACAGAATGACTTGGATGACTACTGAGACTCCCTGAACTTTATGTCTGTCATGGGGCCTGATGCCTCCTTCTTCCATGGAAGTGCTGGAAGGATAGGGTCAGGTAAAGAACAGGAAGCTCCCCACTCATCAACCAATCGAGAAGCATGTGCTCTGAAAATGCCTTCTTGTTCTCCTCCTGAAGTCCACAGAAGGCATTTTCTAGGACTCCTTGCTTATGATTTTCAACTTTGAGTAGAAAGTTGAATAGAGACAGATAATGGCTTAAAACTCCAAGTCAGTGCTGATGAGAAGGTAAAGGTGCTTGCCCCTGAGCCAGATGTCCTGAATTCACATGGTGGAAGGAGGCTCCTGAAAGTTGTCCTCTGACCTCCATACACACTGTGACACAAGTGTTTGTACATGCACACGTGCACGCACACACACACACACACACACACACACACACACACACACACACAAGAAAAGAACTCTGCCACTCCAGGAGCATGTAATGGCACTGACAGAGTATCCTGCCTTCATTCTGTCTGCATTTGAACTAGTGAGTTCCTCCCCTTGTATCCTACAAGTCCTCAGCTGGCAGAAGCCTGTAAACGACTCATCTATTGTAAAACAAGCAAGTCCATCCCTCTGGCCAGGCACTCGGACCTTCAAACACCACCTGGGACATTCTTCGTGGTGGAAAGAGCATGGTCACAACATTGTGGAAAGTAGTCATCTCGTTAATTTCCTTGCCTTCTCCCGCCCCCTCTCCCGGTCTCTTGAGAATACTCTTGGAGTCATAGAAGCCGATCCTTGGGATTTCTAACGCAGACCGCAGACCTGCATCCTCTTTGTCTGAGTGTATCATCAGCCTCCAATTAGATGAATGATGCTCTTGCAAGGGGACTTCTGATGTGTTCTCACACAAAACTGTACTCTTTGTGGACCTGTCGGTAGCCATCAAACATATGTAAGTCCATCACTGTCCCCTGTGTAAGCCAGGTCCCAAACTCATCAGACTTTACAGCTGTTCCAGGTAGAAGCATCTCTGACCACTTACGCTGTGTTGGGGAGGATTTGTTAGCCAAAGCAGGCAGTTGGCCTGTGTACAGATGGACTCAAAGAAACATTTCCTTTCTTAGAGCTGACTATATTATACTGAGATGAAACAAAGGAGAACAGCATCTGTATGGTTTCCCAAGCAGAAAAGGAATTAATTAAATATTACAGAAGCCTCTTCATATATTCATTTATTACCAGGTATTGATTAAGTGCCTGATCTTCCCACCCTTGCCTATCCTTATCTGTGATAAAGACAATGACCTTGGAGAGTCTTTATCTTAGTCATGATTAAAATGCATCCTATCTATAAAGTACTTGTGCAAAAATAAATATGTTTGGAATATCTTGAGCAAAATGGGAGAAAGAAACTGTAGCCTCTTAAATTAACATTATAATAATTTTAAAATTAGTGAAGCCTGTCTCCCAGCATCCTAATGAGGCTCAGCAGCAATTGTTATCCATTTTCATCAGAGTAAAACTTTTAGGGATAATTCTCACCCAATTTATTTAAAAGGGGTCTTGACTGTGAATGTAGTTCCACTAAATTAGCATCTAACTCACTGTCTTGATGGAATGGAAAGGATGCTAGTGCCTTCTCCCCTCCCTCTAGTCTTCCTGCCTTGGTCCATTGAGGAATACTGAGGACCTCCTCCTGATTTGGATAAAAGTTTGTGTCCTTTTCCTTGGCCTGTCTTATCATTGCGATCGTGAAGCATTTTGAAGGAGCCACTCCCCTTATTAGAAGACCCGTTAGCTGTGGAAGAGTGACTGATTAAGTTGTGTTTAAAGCATATTAACTGCCAATGACGAACCAAGCAGGGTGTGATCTTGTAATCAGTCCTGGCCGGAAGGGAAAGAGAGTGTGATGGCAGCACAGTGGCGTGTTTGGAGTTGTGGCTGGATGGGCACTCATCAGACGCTAGAAGATAAATGGCGGATAAAATGTGGGTGAGGATGACCAATAGCTTTGAAGCTTTCCACCAGCATTCTTAGCCCGGACTAAGTACAGTGCAGGAGACTTATGATTTCGTTACCAAACTACTAAACGTCCTTTACGAGGGAGAAGGCTTCTCGAGAGACAATTAACTTGTAGATTCACAAGATGTTCTAAGGCAAGGTGGTATGAGCCAAAGAAGCTAAGGTAGCGAGCGTGGGAGCCCCACCCCGGAGCGAGGGAGCCCCACCCCGGAGCAGCTAAGGCAGCGAGCGTGGGAGCCCCACCCGGAGCGAGGATCTATAAAAGCCCGGCAGGCTGAAGTGGCATTCACAATCCAGCTATCGTCAAGGAGACAGACACTGCAGCCTTCTCTCTACCATCATGTCTTTCAACTGCTCCACAAGAAATTGCTCTTCCAGGCCAGTTGGAGGACGTTACACTGTCGCAGCAGGCCCAGTTACCACAGCTTCAGCCCGTGATGCAGACTGCCTGAGTGGTATCTACTTGCCCAGTTCCTTCCAAACCGGTTCCTGGCTCCTGGACCACTGTCAGGAGTCGTGCTGCGAGCCCACTGCCTGCCAGCCCACATGCTACCAGAGAACGTCGTGCATCTCCACTCCTGTCCAGGTAACTTGCAATCGACAGACTACCTGTGTCTCCAATCCCTGCTCAACTCCCTGTAGCCGGCCACTCACGTTTGTGTCCAGTGGCTGTCAGTCCCTGGGAGGCATTTCCAGCTCTTGCCAACCAGTGGGAGGCATCTCTACCGTCTGCCAACCAACCTGTGGAGTCACCAGGACATACCAGCAGTCCTGTGTGTCCAGCTGCCGAAGAACTTGCTAAGTGCCTAGGAGCCAGTGAGCCAGCAGAGTCCCCATCCTCTGCCAGCTGTGTCTCCAGGATCTACCAGTATGCTGCCTGAATACTTCGTCCATGACCGTTATTGACTGCCTAGTTGCTGGCTGCCTTTGACACTCTAGCATCTTTCTTTCTTTCCAGAACTAAGATAACTTTAAGGTTTGATTTGATTTCTGGTGCTGTGTATGTTTCTTGATGCTTCCAAAGGCTTCGGCACCCTCGGTCCAGTCTGAGGTCTCCTGACGCCTCCAGAGGCTCTGTTGCCAACAGCCCACGCCTTCACCTTGCTGCTGTGTCTCTTGGCTTCTGCTTTCGTGTCTCTGAGAAAGGGAGCTTGCCGCTGTGTGTAATTCTCAATAAACCTGCATTCGTTGGCATTACAAACACGTGTCTCAGCTGGCTTCTTTATTTGTGGGGGTTTTGTTATTTGTGAATAATCCTTCACTGGCGAGGTTCTGATTTTTTTCCCCCGTTCTGAGCACAGAGGAAGGGCCTAGTGACTGTGTTCTGAGACAAGTTAGAGTACACATTGTGTTCTCTTGTTAGGAGAATGTGGGTAAGGGCGGGCTGTGGAGGATGGAGCACTGTGAGATTTGACAACTGATTTGACCTCTGTAATTCCCTGAAAATTTGAGGGCCTCTGTGGAGGTTAAAGATAAGATGTTTAGGCAGCGAAGGAGTTCAGAGAGTTGCCCAGTGAAGCAAGCAATAGAGCAGAGGACCAGAGTTCATGCTTTTCTAATCGAAAGGCCAGGCTGGAAACCTCTGAAAGGACCTCTCTGTGATCTGCGGGGCTGGCGGGAGTCTGAAGAAGGAAGTGGAGTTGACTCTAGGCCTCAGGGATCACTGTATCCAAAGGACCCACTTGTCGCATCTGCTTCTTGGCCTGTGTCCGAGAACGTGTGGAGGGTGTCGGGGATTGACAACACAGAGACTCGTTCAACGATATAAAGAAAACTTTAAACAGGCTCCAAAAAGGTCCAAGAACTTCCTAAGAAAGGCTCCCACCAGAGAAGCTTCTGCTCTCTCCTCTCCCCTGGCTGGTTCTGCTCTGACACCAGAGGTGGATGTGTGTGGGTTTTAAGGTGCAGTTAGTCTTTGGACAAGGTCGAGGTCAGGGCAGTTTCCGTGGGAAGGCCTTTTCCAGGAACTTATTGTATCGTTTTTAGTAAACATGTTTTTAGTAAACATTGTCTTACAGCTGCCTACTCCCAGGCAGAAGGGGAAGTGGGTCTCTGCTCACGGTCTGGTGTTTCCACACCCACTCTCGCTATTGTCTCCCCTCACTCTCTGAGCAAATGTGGTCCCAGACACGATGAATCAACATTTACTATATTTGCCAGGAGAGAGGCTTAAGAAGAACTTCGGGAACATTGTTCTACTTTTTTCATTCGTGCTTGTGCGGTCCTAAGGACTGAAACTACATCCTTGGTTTGTTAGCCATACTCCACCTCTGAGGTACAGCCCCAGCTCCAGTCCTGGTTTGTTTTAGTCCTCACAGCCAGCCTCACCCCTTGCTTGCTCTTTCCTGCAATGCATGTGCTGCTAAACCATCTGGAGGGGTGGGAAGTCCATGCGCCAGCTCCTTGCAGCCGTTCACAGAAATGTGAGGCCTGACTACCAGCAGGGCTGCCCCACCCTTCTCATCCGTCCTGTCCAGAAGCACGTCTCAGTATGCTCTCTTCAGATTGCTCCAACAGACGCAGAAGTGGACAGCCAGTAGACAGAACACAGACGTGCATACGTGGCACGGGCGCTGGGACCGGCGGATGCCATGCATCCTTCTCTGTTGTCAGGGCCACGTGTTTTCTTATTTTACTGATGGGTTTTTCAGAGGCAAAACGTATAGATGATTTCTGTATAGACGCAGTGTTTTCAATTTCTCCCTCTGCTGACTCTTCTCCAAAGGTCCCCTTTATCAAAGACATGCTGGATATGACTCACATTCATCTCTCACTAAAGCAAGACATGGCTTTTGCTACATGCTCGTTCCATGTCCCCTGTTTTTAAAAGATTTGCTCTGACTTTCCAAAATGCTCTGGTTTGTCCTAAAATACAGATCTCTCTCTCTCTCTCTCTCTCTCTCTCTCTCTCTCGCTCTCGCTCTCGCTCTCGCTCTGTCTGTCTCTCTCTGTCTCTCTCTCGTGTGAGTGTGTGTGTGAGAGAGTGTGTGTGTGAGAGAGAGTGTGTGTGTGTGAGAGAGAGAGAGAGAGTGTGTGTGTGTGTGCGCGTGTGTGTGCTGGGGGCAGGGGGTAGCGGTTCCAAATGGCCCCTTTCTCTTTCAATTGATGTGGCACTCAAACACTGTTTCTATTAGTCACTTCGCATATGATTTGGAAAATTCAGAGGCTGATAGACCGTTTTTTTGTTTTATTTCATTTGCTTTTCTACTTTCTAGGTTCCAAAGGATAGGCGGCTTCCCTTTGTATTCATGTGGCTGATGAATGCCGATACGTCAGAGTGGCACATTCATAGCACATGTTGAGATAGGTGTTGCTGTCTGATGTGACAGCACTTCATTTGGGTTGTTTGTTGTGCTATGAACACTGAAGGAGACTGCAGCAGCCTTGCCAATGCTGACCCTCGTTTCTGTTTGGCGAATTACTATTATTGCTTTTGCTATTGTAATGGCTCTATTTATAGTAGAACTTTGAAAGCTCTCTCCATCCTTTGCCTTATTACATAGTAAATTTTACGTTTGTCTTGGAGAACAGCCTTAAAGATAGAGATGTGATGATTCTTAGCCTAAGGCCTAGAAATGCAATTTCTAGCCAGCGTTCCATCACTGTGGGAAGTGCAGCTTTTGTTGGTCTGTGCTATGCGGGTCTGCTCACCTCCTCCGTCCTTCTTGGCTCACTTGGGAACCAGAAGCAATGATAGTTTCTCCTGCCTCTGTTTCCAGGAATAAACTAGAATTGTGTGTGCAACACAGGTTTCAAGGGGGACTATCTGTCCTTTGATACGGAAATTCAGTGAACTGTCTCTTGTTAGGGAAGTGTGGGGTGTTTCTTTTCAAAGTCATGGCTGCCCCAGCAGCTCTGGGGAGTCTGATGGCAGACGTTGGGGGATAGCGTCTTTTTTCCCTTACCTGTGGCCTCGGCTGTCTATGTTAGGAGGGTTATGTCACTTTGTGGACTGCCTTTCTGTTTTCTATCTGTGTCTATTCAGACCAGCCTCATCCAGACATCGGACAGCACCTTCTTTGATTTTCAGTAAATCTACTTCCTAAGACATTTGTGTGCTTGCATGTCTAAAAAACTTTATTGCAAGCTTGAGGATGTAGGGTCGTTTATATTCTGGTTACAAAATATATGATAAGATTTTTATGTTGTAAAATACACATAGCACTGGGCTGGAGAGATGGCTCAGAGGTTAAGAGCACTGGCTGTTCTTTCAGAGGTCCTGAGTTCAATTCCCAGCAACCACATGGTGGCTCTGAACCATCCGTAATGAGATCTGGTGCCTTTTCTGGTCTGTGGGCATACATGCAGACAAAACACTGTATACATAATAGCTACAAATAAATCTTAAAAAATACACATAGCACAGAAGTTACCTCGTTAAATACTTTAAGTTGCGTCCCGTGGCACCCGGAACGCTCACACTGCTGCGGCACCGATCACTCTTGGATACTTTTCATCATCTCATGTCTGTCCATCCTGGCCTTTATGTCCTGTATTGCCAAATCCAGAACTCCATTTCTCCCTCCTTCCTCCCCATTTCCATCTCTCCCCTCTGCCTTTCCTTCAACAAATGTGCTGCCTCTAGAATGTTTGACTTTACATGCAAGAGACATAAAGTTGTAAGAGTCAAAGGAGCATATTGAGCATTAGACAAAGGACAGGGGTTTCAGAGTGGACTCTGGAACCACCCACATGGCAGACAGGGTTGGCTCTGCTGCCAAGACCTTGGCCTTGGTAAAAATTCATCCAGTCTCTTTGGATTATCAGGAAAACTCTACCCATGTTTAGAAACATGAATATTTTCATGAAAGACTTTATACTTAGCTTTATGAATCTTGAATCTTTTCTTGTTATCACCCCTGGTTTCAATTTCTGTCCTAGAATGTGTATTTTTGAATTGAACTGCCTTATGAGTATTTCCAGAGGAAATTTTAGTTACAGGGTAGTCTGATACATCAACTAGGTATGATTGATATAGCACATTTCACTTTATAAAAGTTATGATTGGGAAGCAGGTTATATTAGCATGGGTATAGCTATTAAAAGCAAGTAGTTATATGGTTTCTTATAAGAATAAATGATAAGGATGATAGGATTGCTAAAATTCTGTCAGTGATAATACCGGTGTGGGGAAGAAATACAGATTATTAGTCTGATCTAGAGGAGGATTTGATTGATCTACAGATTTCATACCACCCTCCAAATGAATGTCCTAATAAGATTCCTTCATAAAATGGGACTTAATCATTGGAGTTAGAAACTCTATGCTATTTTTCTTCCACTAAGCACTTGTAAGTACTTGTTTCCTGTTTATTTATTTATTTATGTCTGTGCATAGACACACGTGTGTGCACGTGCATGTCACAGTGTGCGTGGTAGGGTCAGAGGACAGTGTGTACTGCCAACTCTCTCCTTCCGCCGTGTGAGTTCCAACGATGGAACTACATTTATTTACCTGCTGAGCTATCTCACTGACCTCACCGGGCATTTTTAATGACTGTGCATTTTGGCATGTAATCTTAGTACCCTGGAGGCCACTGCAGGAGGATGGTGAATATGAGGCCAGCCTGGGCTGCATAGCAAAAACATTAAAATCTGTAAGACCTGGCAGTGACATACAAATTGTATAGTGATAGAGAAGACCACTTCCCTATAAGGCAATGCCCCTGAAAATCCCCCACCAGAGCGGCCTGTCTTTTTTTGGCTGATGGTACCGATCGCCGCCTGTCAAGTTGTCTATCCTTGTTACCAGATATGACTTCATATGTATAATGAAGTAACAAGAGCTGTCCCCCTTCCTGAGTGGCAACAGGGATTCTCTTAAGTCTGTCCCTCTTTGGTAGGGTTCCCGTTGTACCTCCATGATCTTACACGGAGTGTTACGATGAAGTCC